GATAAAAGCTTAAATAACCACCAGGTAATTCTCCCTTTAGGCCAGGCAGGGAAGGGACTGCCACACGTACTGTTTGTTTTCATTTGTCATTCGCTTCTGTAATGCAGGCACTCTTCTCAGTGGACACTCAATGGGCAGTTGTGTAGAACCATTATTTACCAAATGCTTGGCTACTGCTGCAAACTAAAGCACTGCTGATGCCCCTGAGCTCTCCTGTTCTGCTGTATTTTATATTGCTAATTCATTGTATGCTGTTAATTCAAGACCTTTGGCTGCCCTTTTTGTGTATATATTGTGTATATGGGTCAAATAAATATAGGTGTCTTTATACTGCTATAGGTAGCTATCAATTTACATATATATATATTAAACACACACATACTTTTTTAATATCATGGGCAATGCAATCTGGAAGAAGTTCTATTTCTTTTATTTTTTTTTTTTTTTTAAGCAGGTAACAGATGAGTGGCAAATCTATTGCTGAATGGCTGAGGGGCCTGAATTCAGTGAGCCATGGATTGCCTCTTCTAGCCAAAGTGAAAAAAAATGGATAATACGAGACGGGCAGAGAACAACAACAGCAGCAGCATTGCTTAAGAATCAGCTTACATAAAAAAGGAATGAAGTACACTGCTTAAGGATCAGCTTACATAAAAAAGGAATGAAGTTAAATAATTGAGTAGAACATAAGTATTCAGGGAAGGAGGAAAATAGAGAGGAAAGAAAAGGAGGTTAATGTTTCCTATGAAAAGTTACTGTTTATTGAACTAAGGGTAACCAAGTATATCTTGTCTTTTCTAAGTTGCACACCAGGTCACAGGTATGGTGCAGTAGAAATCCAGGAATATGATAGGCTTTCAGTCCCTCCAGACCAAAGGAGTAATTCTACTTTCATTAAAAGCATTTGCATCCCTTACACATGACTTTTCCAGGCACACTGGAACGTGCCAACAACTGGGGTAGAGCCTACAAGGCCTTAATAACACAGAACTGACACAGAGGGCTGCTGGAGGGTACTCATGGGTTCCTGAGCAAGTTCTACTGCCAGGGGCTGGAGAACTTAGAACTTCCCTCTCAAAGTCTGGGAACACTTAAAAAGCCATATTTGATGATTAAATCTGCATTAATTGAGATCCCAAAGTGAATCACTATTTACTGATGTATTAAAGCCTAGCACTGGTTGAATCTGTAAATGAAGTTTGGCTGCTAAAGGGATCCTGAACTATCATATCTCTTAAAAATGTTGTTCTACTTATGATTAAAAGGTGCACTTCATTACAGCCCAATCAAGTGCCAGTTTGTAATTATTAAAACTCAGAACTTTAGTAAACATGCAAAATCACCCCTCTAAAACACACAAACTTTCTTAGTAGCTCGTACAACATCTCAATACTGACCTTATTCACAGCCTCCACAAGCATTTTCATTTCCTTCTCAATATCACTGACAAATTTTAAATCTTTCCTGCAAGAACAATACACGAGGTAAATGAGATAAGAGATTATGCTTTCATATACAAGGTGTTCATTTTTTGTTACCACTTCTGTTAAATGAATTCTTTAATTTTTTTCTTGTTGAATGTAACAAAACTGTAACAGGAGTGAGAGTACATTTTGGTTTATACATTATTCCATTTGCTATAATAAAAAGATATTAACATGTCATGACTGTTACAAAAACCTTGAATTATTTTTCCTGCAGACCTTGAAATCAAGTCAATTACTGAGTTATAATAATTTAAGTCAAATTACTATGATACAATTTTGCATTCTCATATATATTGTTTCAATTTTTTCCAAGTAATTTTTCCAGTATCTTTAAGTTACTTCTCATTAAGAAAATCCTTTATTTATTATAATGCAATTACACATGGCAATTAGAATGGGGTAAGCAGAGTGGAGCTTTTTCCCTAAGACAGAAAATATGCACTGACTCTGATCTTTAATACATTCAGCATAAAAAATAAAAG